ATTATATCATTCTTAATGGAGTTTTACGTATTGGCAGGCTTTTATTTGGGAGGAGTTTCACTTATTTTTATATTTGATACTTTCTAACTGCTTGGAGGTAGTAAAATGTTAGTCTACCCCAGTTAGCTTTTAGGTGAAGATTTCTAATCTCTTGGAGAAGTAAACATTCAAAACACTGTGAATTACTTTTGTGAAACTACCATTTTATTAGTTCCATTTAGGTACAGAAATTCAAAAGCATCTCTAATTCTTCTGTCATATCTTTTTAATGCCTTACCAACTCACAGCCAAATAGCTCCAGATTCATGTGTAAATAAAGCTTCCAGAATGGCAACAATACAATACCTTGAAAAATATTTAAGAGTTTTAAAAGAATTTTCAATATTATAGGATCATTCAGAGGCAGATGTCTTGCCAAAACCGTATCATTGTTAAGCAGATTTACTGCTCAAAGGGAAGGGATTTGTTGCTGCATGTTATATAGCATTTTTCAAATAACAACATTTATGTATCTATGTCAACAAATAGGAGGTGTTAACTACAATTCATTCAACAAATATTTGTTGAACCTGCTTGCCAGGCACTATCCCAGGGTCTGGTAACAGCCTTATTCTCTAGAGGCAGAGTATGTGATAATAGAATTTGTTATAGCCTTGGGCCAAGGATAATTATGAAAAAATATTAAATTTGGTCTTTTGGCATGGAATAATTTTTTATACAATATTCTCCAAGTTCTATGACTTCTATAATTGCAGAGTTGATCTGCAGTTGAATTTATAAGGTTGTACCCAAAATGGAAATTGGTATATCATTGCCCTGATTTCTAGTTTAGTTTTGTTTTCTCTAAAATACGATTTGGTAAACTTTTAGAAGGAAAAAAAAGTTTTCCTCTATAGACTTAACCAAGAGTATTAAGTAAAATTATTACCAAGTTGCTCTTAGGTTTCAAACTATCCAAATATCTTTAATGATTACCTCCCTATGAATTGTGAAACTGATTTGACAAACTAATCTTAAATGTAATTTTTAGGTAATCTTTATGTGTATGTTCTTATGTGATTATTAACATGTATAGCACTGTACAGAAGACTGATTTTATGTACATAAAAGACTTTCACAAAGACTTTAAAATTATGTTTATTTTACTTCTATGATCATGTTTTCATTAAAAAAGAATAGACCTGAGATGGTACATAAATATATGGTATCCTGTGATGGTAAGGGTGTTGGATTTAGTTTCTTTCTTTCTAAAATGAAGTAGCCACTTCCTATGATTGTTATAAAGGCTGAAAGGGATAATGGATGTCAAAGGGTTTAAAAATTTGTAAAGTTCAATTCAAATATAAAGAGTTTTACTATAATCTAGTTGTCTCTAATCCTTAGTAGCGAGCTTTTTATTGTGACAGGGAACTTCTATTGAGCGTTTAGGTGATGAGGGTGAAAATGTGATTTTTCCAGAGAACCTTGTGGCATTGATGACTTTGGGGATATAAATAAGATTATGGAAAAAAACAAAAACAAAAATCTCTGCTTCCAGAGAGATGAAAACTACCTCATGAGCCTCTGAGTCAATGTCAAAATATTTTTTTGGATCTAGCCTGACTCTAGAGAGCAGCAAAATAAATAGTTGCCCTGAGAGACCAGATCACACAAGTATGGATTTCTAAATAATAAACTGCTTTTAGGCTAGAATTAGGGCTGTGGCCTTCCCACACACAGCTTACGTTTCTAGGGAATTTGACGGGCCTTGTACCGAGTTTATATTGTATATGATTTTGGGGTGAGGAGGGAGGAAGGGACTTAGGATTTTATACTCCCGCCCTTCTTTTTCTGTTTCTTAAAAGGAGAACCCCTCTTTATGTCATAGAAACATAGAATATGGGGCGGCGGGTGGGAATGGAGGGAAGTATATTAGATTTTAAGAAAGTACAATTTCAGTGGTTATCCCTTGTAAGTAATAATATTTAGAACAAGAATAGTTTTGTAAAGAGGAAAATGCCTAAAATCTCATCTATAATTCTGTGTTTTTATGACGTAAAGAGAGGTTTTCCTTTTAAGAAACAGAAAAAGAAAGGCAGGAGTATAAAATCATAAGCTCCTTCCTCCTCCAAAAAATTCCACTGGTTCACTGTAGAAAAAATTGCAAATGGGAAGGAAAATGTTTTCAGATAGAAAAGTTAGTTCTGAATTTGTGTATTCAGTAATTGAACTTGTTAAAGTCTTTATTGGAGGCAAGAAAAATGTCTCCAATGTAAAATCCTTTGTGTTGACATTAGATTTTATATTATACCACAGTAACTTTTCAAACTTTGTTTTTGTTTAGCATTTAATGGAAGAAAAACCTGATGGCCTTATCAATGAAGCTACTAGGTATTTTTATTTAAAGTATATATTGATTGCTGGCTAATTAGAGAAAATCATTAATATGAAAACCATAAACAAGCTAAGAAATATAAAAACATAGTCAAGGACATTTATTTTCTTTTTCCCCCACAGTTGTATTATTGCTATCTATTTATAATGGTCTAATAAGTAAAATTTTACTTACAACCATTTTTATTGTAGGATAAAGTGAATGCTGAACACAGGAGTTGAGTTCTTTGTGAGGAACTCAGAAAATATTAACATTTAAAAATATTTTCTTCTCATACAATTTATTTGCGATTGAAGATTATAAAAAATAGTAGGCTTCTTTAACAGCAGTTCATTTGATTTCAGTGTTCATTATTACTCAGAATAATAGAGGAACAAATATGGAAATAGTTTTAACTTGGCATTTGAACATTTTTAAATATAAATACCTTTATGTTCCTAATTGACTTGTCTTTATACTTATAAATATTTAATTTGCCTATCCTGAGCATATTCTTGCCAAAGGGATAAAGGTTTGGGGATAGATGACAGCCATTAAATATACTTCTGGGTTTAAGAGGGAGGCCCCCTGGGATTTGCTATGGATCATCCAGACATAAATAATAAAGACTCAAAGCAAGCAATTGATTCCCTATTATTTAGAGAATGGTACTTTGTTGTTTTGTCATCGTGCCTATACACCGCATTTGGTATATAATTATGATTAAAATTAGCATGAACTTAAATATTGTAACTTTTTTCCTCATGAAAATATGGGATTATAGGAAATATAAATAAGCCAAATAGAAAATAGCAAAATGTTGTAAAAGCCAAATGAAGATTAAACGTAGAATTCCTCCAATTTAAAGATTGCAACAGTTTATATTTTGAGATATTATGTCTTTATTCATATAAAATTTACTTAAACAAAAATTGGATTGTGGTGTACATATTGTTGAAATCTGCTTTTTCAGTGAATTAAAGTTAATTTAGTTTTGAAAATTTAGTTATGTTCTTTAAGGTACAGCATAAGACTAGGATTAGAAACGGATAGTCTAGTGATTAAAATTTTCTGAAGAATTGAAGAAAATTGAAAGAATTCCCAGCTTTACTACTCCTGTTAGTAGAAAATAGAATAATTTTAATAATCTGTTTTGTTACTAACATTCTGTCAACTGGATTCTTTAACTTAAATTTCTGCATATCCATTTTATGGAAATAGTATACAATGTAGTCATAGTGAAGAAGATATATGTGCAAGGTCCTGATATATCTTCTGAAGTGTAGTTTTTAAACTGTTTAATGTTTAGTTCTCTGTGTTTCTTTGAAAATTATG